CCCGGCCCCGGCCCCGGTCCGTCCGCCGCAGCCGCCCGCCGAGCAGCGCACCGAGGTAAGAGAGCGCTCCGTACCTCCCCGCGGGGCCGGCCCAGCCCTGCCGGGAGGGGGGCACCCCGAGCCGCCGGGCGCTGCGCCGGAAGGCTGCGGGTTTCTGCTGGGCGGCACGGGAGGGAAGGCGCGGAGGAAAGAGGGTCGGGGCGGGGGCAGATAGGGAACCGGAGTGAGCCCCAAGGACGACAAGGGATGGAGGCTACCCCGGCAGGTCTGCCGGCGGGAGACCGGTCTTGAGGTGCTGTGAGTCGGGGCGGAAAAGGAAAGTCAGCCAGGGACCTTCACCCCTTCCCCGAGTGCGTGGGAAGCCTTTGCTAAGCAAGGAGAGCGGTAATGCTCCATCACCAGGCAGAGAGCAGGTGAGGCCTGTGAAATTCATGCAGGAGATGAAACCAGGATGATCTCTCTTTTTTCTTTTTTAAAAAGTTAAAAAAAAAAAAAATCGCATTTTACCCTTCAGAACTGTGGCTGAGGGTTGGAAAGGGGTGGGGAGAGAAGGGAAATCCCCAATGCTATCCCCATAGAAGCCAGGGAATTTTAAATGACAGTTTCCTCCTGTTGTCTGCACTGCAGGTAGAGGACACATGATAGCTCTGCATCTGGAACATCTAAATTTAGGATGCTGTTCTAGTAGCGACTCCCTATTTCTTCCCTCCCTTACTGGATTTGGCACTGCCATATTTCATCAAGTAGCATGTCAGGATATTTCACCTACTTTGTTCCTAGTGCTCTCCTAGGCTTAATGACTCACTCCTGAGGAGTTTGCCTGCATCTTATGCAGTTCGCTGCAGTCTCAGCATCAGAACCCAGCTGAGATTAAAGCAGTGTCACAGTGCATCCCACACTGATGACATGGGGCTCTGAATCTGCACACTCATCTTTACTTATTCCTGCAGCACCTGGCCCTTCAACTCAGGGCAGCAGAGAGCTGTCGGGAGTCAGAGCACAGAATTAGCACATGAAGTTAAAGCACACACTTCTGACTTAATTGCTTGTGTTATAACGCCACAGAAAAAAAAGAATATTCGAGAATATCAACTGAGTTATTTTCACTTATGCTCAGACCTATGCTTTATACAGGCTTATGACTAAGGAGATTTAAGTGCCAGCCCCTTGAGGGAAAGCCTTTCAGATATAGAACGAACCACTGTAAATGTGGCTGGCAAGATGCTCACCGCTGATATTTAGGTACTGCTCTGCAGCATCTGTTATTAGCAATGTTCTTAAAGACAGAACGCACACCCATATGCCTCCCTCTGCAGAGGAAGTCATTAATAAGAAGCTGATTTTTGCAGCAGCAGAGATTTGTGGAAGGACTGATTCCAGCCTAGGAAACTGACGAACTATCCACAACTGCAGATGTCAACTACTTGCATTTTGTGGATGGATTTAACTAAGGGCTTCACTTGGAACATAAAATATTAATCTGCTCACATGCTTCAGGGTATTAACTTAATAGGGGCCAGGAGGCCCTGAGGTTAGGAAGCAATCTGTGCCCCCAAAATCATGCTTTCAGATAACGTGCTTATTTTCCCTTTTTTCTAATGCATCAGTGTTTGACATCACTGAGGGTGGGGGACCCCATGTCTGAAGGGCCACTGCGTCACCACTCCTTTCCCCCTTCTTTCTCAGAAAGCTCTGTCCAGCCTGGCCCAAGGATGGAGTCCCTCCCTGAAGCAGTCCTGATCAGAATCCTGGCTTCCATACCTGCAGTGGATTTGGTGCTGGCGTGCCGCCTGGTCTGCTGCCAGTGGAAGAACCTGGTCGATGGAGCCGCGCTTTGGATCCTGAAGTGTCAGCAGGAAGGCCTCACTGGAGCAGAGTCACAGGAGAATGCAGAGAACTGGCAAAACTTCTATTTCCTGAGTAAGAAAAGGAAGAATCTCATCAAGAACCCATGTGGTGAAGGTGAGAGACCAGCATAACAAGCCCCAAGATTTCATAAAGATGACCAGTCACTGGGAAATGGGCATCTCCAGTCTTTAAGGAAAAAAAAAAAAAAAAAAAAAAAAAAAAAAAAATCTTAGTTGCTATCTGGTTGCAGTACTTGCTTCTTGCCCAAGTCAAATCACACTTAATGCATGCAGTCAAATCATTTAAGGGGAATGAAGGCCTTCGATAATCAGCCTTTGCAAAGGGCTCTAGACATCAACTTTATATAAGCCCCTGCAGGGATCCAAATCACATTGGAGAGACAAAAGTGTCCTTTGCAGAACCCCTGTCCGATGCAGTAATAGTAGTGGCATCTGCATTTCTAGATTGTTTCTTGCCAAACCATGACAGGAAAGATCAAGCCTTTCCCCACTCAGGAGCTAGTCTGCCCTTAGCTCACCAGGCACTTCAGGCTTCCTTCCTTGAAGCAGCTCAGGCAAATCTTGTTTGTACCCTCCTTACTACAGTCCATGTTAGAGCTGTGCACATACCCCTTTTGTCATTATTTTGATAATCTATGAACTTCGCTTGCCAGATCTGCAAGATCCAGCAGCAACAAATACATTTCACACATCACAGACCAAACCAATATCAGCACAGCTTGTTCATTTTGTTTACAGATTATTTTTCCTGCAAGCTTTTCCAACATCCAGGTTCCCTCTGGCTAAGACCAGAAAAGCCCAATGTTTAAGGCCATACTGCTTCTAGAAATACCACTTAGCAATTTAGAAAATTTAGAAATAAAGCAATTGGCATCCCTCCCCAGGCTATTCCTATGTTATGACAATGAAAGTGCTGACGCACAGTTCAAAATACCTAAATAATTTCACTGGTGTACTTTCTTAAATAAATCCACATGTACATAGCCATTTTGGTGGGGAATGTTAAAGTTTTTTAACATTAAAGTTCAGCCAGACTAAAGGTTTTTGCCTGACTTCTACTTAACAAACATCTCCATAGTCTACATACAAAATTAGTTCTGCATCTAACAGCATACCTTTCACAAACCAGAGAAAGGTTCCAGTGGGAGATGGTCAGGTTCCCCAGGCCCACAAAAACTAAGATTCAGAGTCTCTTTTCTGCCATTTGCAGAAGACTTGCAGCACTGGGGAGAGGTAGAGAATGGAGGTGATGGCTGGAAAATTGAAGAGCTCCCTGGGGACTTTGGAAAAGAATTCCCTAGTGAAGAAGTCCATAAATACTTTGTTACATCTTATGAGTAAGGCTGCTTTCTTCTCTTATTCAGGAAAGGGGACATTTTTGGTCCCCTCAGTCCCAGGAGAGACTGTGATACCAATTAACTTCTTGTGTTTCAGGTGGTGTCGAAAGGCTCAGGTCATTGACCTTAGGGCTGAGGGCTACTGGGAAGAGCTGATGGATACAACCCAGCCTAAAGTTGTGGTCAAAGACTGGTAAGCAGCAAGGATGCCTCAGAAGGCAGGCAGGGAGTCAAGAAAGAAAAGGAAGGGCAGGGAGGTCATATACCTGCACTGGGCCTTAAAACCTCAGCTCCCAGGATCCCCTAAATGTGGGACAAGGCTGGGTCTTGGCTTACAGTGCCACAGGTAGCTCCCACAATCTTCAAATCGTTGGTGCACTTGGCCTCTAAAAGACCAGGGTCCTGTTGTGAATGAGGGGAGGTGGTGGGTTGGGGTAAGAGCCATTATGGATTTCCACCTCAAAGCAAGACCCCAGTAACTTGACAATATTGGTAGAGCCTGCATTCAGCAAGATGCAGCTGCATGCTCTGGCTCTTCGCAGAGTTCACACAGGTAAGGCTAGCAGCTTGGATATCCTTGCAGGTATGCAGGACGCAGTGATGCCGGCTGCCTCTATGAGCTCTGTGTGAAGCTGCTCTCAGAGAATGAGGATGTTCTGGCTGAGTACAAAAGTGAGACTATTGCCATCCCACAGGACAATGATGCCAACTGGACTGAGGTGAGTTACAGCTGTGGGCTCAGCAGGTGACACCCAACCTGCATGAATCAGGAATATTTTCAAGCAGAGAGAAGCAGGACAGTTCTCCTGGAGGAGGAGGAGGCTCTGTCATGTGTCCTGTGGAGCCATGACCCTGTGACTGAACAAAGGGATTATACTGGGAGGCTACCTTACATAAAACTTGGAAACTTGCTGAGCCACCACTGCAGGTATAAGATGGAGATGCCCAACTGGGAGAGGTTTAATGGCCTCTGAACAACAATGGGATCAAAGCTCCTCCTAGTAACTCCCACTGTAGGTGTCCTCATTGTTACCCAGCCTAGTAGGTATGACTCGGGCAGGTGGGGTTGAAGACTGTGCACTAAAGAAGGGTAGGTTCATGGTGGTTTGACACTTGCCAACAACCTTTTGTCTCTCATCCCAAAGATCTCCCACACCTTTTCCAACTATGGGCCTGGGGTCCGCTTTGTCCGCTTCGAACACGGTGGCCAGGACACACTATTCTGGAAGGGATGGTATGGCGTACGTGTTACCAACAGCAGCGTGACAGTGGAGCCATAGCCATGCTGAACTGGGGCCTGCATACTGGAGCTGACTTCCCTCAGGGCATCCCATGGCCTTTGGATGGTTTCTGCATGGTGCTGCTTCCAGGCTGTAGAGCGTACAACCTTTCTACATATGAATGTGCATGCAAGATGCCAGGGGCCACCATCCATCTTTCCTCAAGAGGACTATGCAAAGAATGTGAATAGATTTGTGAATGCATCACATGAGACAGCCTCGCCACTTGCACTGATGTTCTCTGTCAGACATGAGATCACCCAGAAATCCTGCAGACCTTACTTCTCTCCTAAGCCACTAACCCCTAGCACCCAGCCTGAGCTAGACACCCCTCCTGCTTGCTTCCCAGACTTGGGCACCCCTTAATTTTAAAGGGTACTTGGGGCATATTTTCTGGAAGAGTGGAAAAAAAAGAAAGAAAAGCATAGGCCTTGTGTCTGAGAACATACCAGGGAAACCCAGAGCCGTGTCACATCTCTGTCACCAACTGCTTCTATGACCTCTAGTGAGAAACTTAGCTTCTCCCACTTATAAACAATAGATGTCATTACTTGCCACATAGGAGCTCTAGCTTGGCTGCCAAGTGCTCTTAGTTAAATTTTCAGTGATAATGCAAAGCAAGAGGGATTGGATCCTTTTCTCTTACACTGTTCTCAGCATCCATTTATTAAGGAGTGTTGGGAACTGAAACTTCTCTGGTGTCCAAACCTGGGGCTTCATTTGCCTCCCTCAAACAGATGGCAACTGAGAGTAATTGCTGGGAGAGAGATGACAAGGACTTAGGGAAATGGGTTAGAAGCAAACTGGGGAGACAGTCCAGGAACAAATAAAAACAAACTCCATCTACTCCTTCCTGGCCTCTGCATGCTTCATGCAACAAGGACCCTGGTCATCCAGTATGACTTTTTGCAGGGAGATGTTCTTCACATAGAAAGCTGTTAGCCCCACTTCATCTCAGTTCTTCCTGCCTACTAACAAAAGTACACGTCTGCCTCCACTCCATACGCTCACTGATAAGACAGCACTTCATACATACTCCTACTAGTGCCTCTTGATATCACTCAGGGCTGTGAGCCACCATCCTGAACAGACACCTAAGCTTCCCTGAGCCAAGCCTGCCCTGCTATTTAGTCCTCTCAGAAGAGCATCCCCTTAATAGAGCTGGTGTTGCCTAGAGGTAGGCACTTACATTTTTGTGTCCATCTGTCTGTCTTCCCTTCCCAGGCTGCCAGCACATACATATTTGAATGCTACTTTGCATCAAAGTGCACCATTACAAGTGCAGTGTACTACTGTTACCTGTAGCCAAAGGAGAGAGCTTCCAAGCTGGTCACTTTGTGCACGCTCTGCTTCATCAGGCTTTCTGCACCTGGATGCCTAGGGCACACTGGCATTCTGAACTACAGCCATGCCAAGCCAGAGTCCAGGCAAAAGTAATAAAGTGACACAGCTGTGTGTGGATCTTCCCTTGTGTGCTGGCTATTTGTCCTGTGCTTAAGCATGTTTTTTCTGTCCAGTTATGTGGAGCGATGTCAACCAGTCTTAACCAAAAACCAGGAGTCATTGTATGTTGTATAATACCATGAGTCTCCCAGAAAGAGGTACACATTCTCTTCCCTGACCAGCAGCCTGAACCTGTCAGAAGCACTTGATGGGCAATGGGTTTGCAGAGCAGCAGCTGGCAGAGGTGCACTTAAAACATAGTGGGAATTCACACAAGGCACAGAGGAGGTCCAGGAAGGCTCCTACAAAGCCCAGCCCTGACAGATGCCCTCCAGGTCATCTGTAACTGTAGCCCTACTGAGGGCTACCAAGCTCAGGCTTGGTTCTGACCCAGGAGAGACTAAAACCAGTTCAGAATTTAACTCTTTCCCCTCCATTACCCCTGACCAGTCACACAATGCTGCTTTATTCACCACAGCCTTTAATGCAGCTGACAAAGTTGCTAGTTAATATTCAACTCACTGCCAACTCTCTGCCCCACAGAAGAAATGAGGCCTCTGTCCCTAAAGAATCGGCATAGCAAGCGGATCAATATTGGATATCTTGATGCAGTTGTTAAACTGAACCCTTCCTAAGCCACCATCTCACAGTCAGCATAAACCCCAGGATTAAGCCTTCAGATATTGTGTCCCTTGTAAATACAGGGTAGGGCCATGGTCCCAACTTTAGGCTTATCTAGGCTGAACTACAAAACGCACACAGCTTCCCCAGCAGCAATGTCACACAGAATGCAGCTGCCCAGGGGCTTTCCCCCTCCCTCCACACTCTTCCTCATGCCAGTAGGCCTGATCTTCACACTGGCTGTCAGGGGCATCCTGCAAAGCTGTCCTGACCTTCCCACTCACCTCCAAGAGGTGCTTTCCAAGATGCTCAATGCCTTGCAGCTTCACTGCAGAGAATAGCTGCCTCTGCTCCACAGAGCTTCTTGCAAAGGCTGCTGCTGACCTCAGGGAAGGGATTACTCCTTGCATTCAGCCACATCAGTACTACAATCCCAGAGCAAGTGAGTGCCTGGGTACTTGGAAAAAAAGTCTTGCTCGCATTATAAATATTTTGTTCCAAATGGCTTTTGAATTTTGATCAAATACTAGAAGTCTGAACACACTGAAATCTGCACCATACCCACACATCCAATTTCAAGATGATGTCAACTCATCTGTCAGAGATGAGCAGAGCACAGCAGGTTAATGGGTTCTCACATGTTACAGACTTCATGGAAATTGAGATGGTGCAATTTCATAGGATTACAGAAAGTCAATGTGGCTATGACAAAAGGGTTTAGATGTATTACAGCTCCCAGCCACTGAAGGGCTCTGTCACACTGTATTGGGTTTGAGTGGCAAGGTTTTGGTAGCAGATGGGGGTTACAGGGGTGGCTTCTGTGAGAAGCTGCTGGAAGCTTCCCCTGTGTCCAACAGAGCCAATGCCAGCCGGCTCTAAGACGGACCTGCCGCCAGCCAAGGCTGAGCCCATCAGTGATGGTGGTAGCACCTCTGTGATAACATTTTTAAGAAGGAAAAAAAGTTGCAGCAGGCACAGAAATGGCAGCCAGAGTGAGGAGTGAGAACATGTGAGAGAAACAACCCTGCAGACACCCAGGTCAGTGAAGAAGGAGAAGGAGGTGTTCCAGGCACCAGAGCAGAGATTCCCCTGCAGCCTATGGGGAAGACCATGGTGAGGCAGGCTGTCCTGTCCCCCTGCAGCCCAGGGAGGTCCACAGTGGAGCAGATATCCACCCACAGCCCAGGGAGGACCCCACGCCGGAGCAGGTGGGTGCCCAAAGGAGGCTGTGACCCCGTGGGAAGCCCACGCTGGAGCAGGGTCCTGGCAGGACCTGCAGATCTGTGGAGAGAGGAGCCCACAGGGCAGGTTTTCTGGCAGGACTTGTGACCCCGTGGGAAGCCCACACTGGAGCAGCGTGCTCCTGAAGGACTGCAAGCCATGGAAGGGACCCACGCTGGAGCAGTTTGTGAAGAACTGCAGCCTGTGGGAAGGACCAACAGTGGAGAAGTTCGTGGAGGACTGTCTCCCATGGGAGGGACCCCACACTGGAGCAGGGAAAGAGCGCGATGAGTCCTGCCCCTGAGGAGGATGAAGTGGCAGAAATAACATGTGATGAACTGATTATAACCCCACTCCCCATCCCTCTGTGCTGGTGGGGGGAGGAGGTAGAGAATCTGAGAGTGAAGTTGTGCCCGGGAAGAAGGGAGGAGTGGAGGGGAAGGTGTTTTGAGATTTGCTTTTATTTCTCATTACCCTACTCTGGTTGATTGGTAATAAATTGAGTTAATTTTCCCCAAGTTGAGTCTGTTTTGCCCATAATGGTAATTGGTTGAGTGATCTCTCCCCGTCCTCATCTCGACCTACGAGCCCTTTGCTATATTTTTCTCTCGCCTGTCCAGCTGAGGGGGGGGAGTGATAGAACAGCTTTGGTGGGCACCTGGTGTTCAGCCAGGGTTAACCCACCACACAGAGCTTGAAAGGGAGTTCCTTTTGCTTTCTGTTGTGCCAACACCAGCAAGCAGCTGCGTGATACTACACAGTAGCTTTTGGGAACACTGATGACCAATGCAGACGTGTCCTGTAAAGACAGAAAGAGGTCTGTCCCCAAGTAATTTATAACATATTCTCATCACCCAGACTCAAGAGTATTTAGAGATCTGAGCATTAAAACACAAAAATTGAGTGTTGCTGGAACATTCATGCTGGCAAAAGCACCAAACCCACATAAAAGGGTCTCCTCCCAGTCCCGAACATGGCAACGAGCTGTAGGAAGGTCTTCTATTTCCTTTCCACTTCAAACCCACAGTGCACCACAGCCATCTCTGGGGCAGACCACTGCTGACCTTAGTAGTGAGCTACACCAAACAAAAAATAGAAACGTCCCCCAAAACACCCCACATTGCAACAAATCAGCTGGATGACAACTGGAGAGAGAGTTTAAGATGCAAACTACTCACTCTTGGTCAAGACATTGGCATGAACACACCTCTTACCCTGGCTGCTTTAATACTCAGAGGCACTAAGAGAAGCCCCAGATAATGAACTCCACATAGCCCTTTTCTGCTCTCAGCAGCTGGCATCTGATGTCCTGGGTAGCCAACTGCATCTTGGTGGTGGCTGCAGTTGTATGAGATCCCACTGAAATTTTCTTTTCTACAAAGCCTAACACAGCCAGTCCTGGCTATAAATGCCATTATACTTAAAAGGTGTTAAGAAATCAACATCTTTTGTTTGTTTTTTCATAATAGCTTCTACAGCAAGTCTCTTGCAGAGGAACAGAACAGACCAAGATGGGGCCCTGGCAAGGAAGCACTAGCATACATCTCTTGTCAAGTCTAATTGAATTTTTCTATATGAAGCATCTATTATTACCCACCTGGGGGGTTTGTGGACAGATGGAGGAGTTTGCTCCCCCACCAGGCTTTCAGGACTAGCGATGTGTGTGTGTGTGTGGGGGGGGAAATCTATCTGACAATTCCCCATTGCTTGCAGCCCAGCTGTTCTAGCC